CATGGACTGAAGACTATTAAGATGTCAATTCCCCTCAAATCGATCTGTAGATTTAATGTCATCCCAATAGCAATTCTATCAGGTTTCTTTCCACTAGAAATTGATGAATTGATTCTAAAGTTTATATGGAAATACAAAGGATGTAGAAGAGTCAAAAGAGTTTTGAAACAGAAGAACAAGGTTGGAAGACACACTACCTGATTTTACGATTTCTGGAATGCTACGGTAATTGACAGTGTACTAGTGTAAGGAGGAACATATTGAACAGTTGTACAGAATACAGGACAGAAATAGACCCAAAGTACATATAAACAATGCTTGTAACTCAATCAGATAATAAGCAACCCTATTTTAAAAATGAGTAAAAGATTTTAACAAATACTTTACCCACCAAAACACACAATTGGCAAATTAGCTCACAAAAAGATGCTCAATATCATTAGTCTGTAGTCAAATGAAAGTTAGAAACCACATGAACCACCACTACAAATCTACTAGAACGGCTAAAATGTTAAAAGACGGACAACATCAAGTGCTGGTCATCATGTGAGGAACTGAAACTCTAATACACTGCAGGTGGATTGTAAAATGATGCAGTCACTTTGGAAAACAGTTAACAGACCTTTATGCAGTTAAATATAGACTTATACAATGCAGCAATCCCATACCTAAGTATTTATCCAACAGAAGTGAAAACATATGCAAATGTTTATAGTGGCTATATTCATAATAGGCACAAGTTGGAAGCAGCCCACATATCCAACAACTGTTAAATAGATAAACAAATCGCAGTACATCTGTACAGTGGAATACTCCCGTTGATATATGCAACAACACAACATGGACGAATCTCAACAGCATTATGCTAAGTGAAAGAAGCCAAAAACAAAGTGGAAAATGCCGTATGATTTAATTTATACAGCATTCTGGAAAGGCAACATTATAATGAGAAAAACAGCTCAGTCACTTCCAGGGACTGAGGATAGAAGGAAGAGATTTGCTTAAGAAAGATGAGTTTCACTTTGTGTAATTTACACCTCAGTTCTAAATGTTTCAAAATTTTGTAAGATGCAACAAAAGAAGTGGTTAGAGGGGAAATTATAACTTTAAATGCAAAATTAGAAAAGAAAAAGGATCAAAATCAATAAGTTTCTACTTTAAAAACAACTAGATGAAGAAAAATTAAATGCAAAAGAAAAAAATATATGAGCAGATATCAATGAAAAAGTTAAATAAAAATTGATAAACCTTTGGAAATACTGGCCAAAGAAAAATAAGAGAAAATACAAATTACTGATATGAGAAATGTAAAAGACAATATCACCATGGACACTAAAAGAATAAAAAAGCAATATCATAGCCCAGGCTGGTTGGTTGGAACATCGTTCCATACACACAAGGTGGCAGTTCGATTCTGCTCAGGGCACATACCCCAGTTGTGGCTTCAATCCCTGGTTAGAAAGATTGCAGGAGGCAACCAATCGATGTCTCTCTCTCTCTCACATTGTGTGTGTGTGTGTGTGTGTGTGTGTGTGTGTGTGTGTGTGTGTGTGTGTGTGTGTGTGTGTGTGTGTGTGTGTGTGTGTGTGTGTGTGTGTGTGTGTGTGTGTGTGTGTGTGTGTGTCTTTGTCTTTCCCCCTCCTTTAAAAATCAATGGAAAAAAATCAATTCTTCCTTAAATATCTCTGTAGATCCCACATCATTTTAAACAAACTCTAAGCAGGGTGTGTGTGTGTTTTTAAATGTTTAAATAGAAACGGATGGCGGCTTCTCTCTGAAGCACACCCACACCTTTCTCCTTCCCCAGGCTCCTTCTGTCTGCCTTCTTTTTCTTAAGCTTCAAAGGTCTTTCCTTTGCCTCTATAACTTGTTCCCTGAGGCCACACAGCCCAGCTGGTTCACCTTTCCTACCTCTGTGACTTTCTAAATAAACTTTCCCTTATTAACAACAACAACAACAAATATATACATGGAAAGAGAGAGAGAGAGTGTGTGTTAGACAAGAAGACTATAAAATGTATGAAGAAATACTAAGGTCATAAGAGCCAAACTATCTTAAAAACAAAGAACAAAATCCAAGGACTTATATTATCTGATTTCGAGAGAAATACAAAACAAAAACACCCCACAAAAACAACATCAAAAACCTTGACCCATACCTCATAGCATCACAAAAATTAATTCTCAATAGATCATAGAACTAAATCTAAGGAGCTAAAAACTATACACCTCCTGGAAGAAAATATTTTCGTGAACTTGGAGTAACAAAGGTTTCTTGGTACCTGAAAGCACTAACCATAAATAAATAATTGATAGAAATAGACTTCACTAAATTGAAAATTTATGTTTGTCATAAGACCCATTAAGGATGAGTCAATGAGCTGCGGACTAGGACTAAACATTCACAGTACAAATATAACAAAGAACTTGTGTCCAGAATATGTAAACAATCCAATAAATCCTACATAATAAAAGCCTAATATGCTAAGTGTCCAACTGTTTGACCGTTCGACCAGTCACTATGACATGCACTGACCACTACGTGGCAGACACTCCAAATGGTAGGTTACTTGCTGCTGAGGTCTGGCCAATCCGGACTGAGCGTGATGGCTGGACATGTCCTGGAGCCCTCCTCCTGCAGTCCCTCCCCAACCCCCATCACGCTCTGGTGGAGTCCCTCGGCCTGGCCTGCACCCTCTCACAATCCAGGACCACTCAGGGGATGTCGGAGAGCTGGTTGTGACCTGATCCTTCCATGTGAGGCCAAAGGACCCCACTGGTACATGAATCCATGTACCAGGCCTCTAGTCTATAACAAAAAGACCAATAGCCAAATAAAAATAAGGAAAATACTTAAATAGATACTTTACAAAGAAGCTATGTAAGTAGCCAATAAGCACATGAAAAAGAGCCCCAAATCATTAGCCGCCAAGGAAATGTAAAGTAAAAGCACAATAATATACCCCCACACCCTACCAGAGTAGCTAAAAGTTAAAAGTTGATAGTATCAGATGTTGGTGAGGATGTGGAGCAATGGGAACTCTCAGCGCTGACCGGTCGGAGAGTAAAATGACGACCATTTTGTAAATCAGCCTGGCAGTTCTCAGTTATTCCACTTCTAGGTTTTACCTAAGAGAAACGAAAACATATGAACGCAAAAGACGTGCACAGCAATGTTCATACCAGCTTCATTAATAACATCCTAAAACTGGAAACACCCCAAATGCTTATCAACAGAAGACTGCATACATAAATCATGGTATCGCCATAGCCAAATACTGCTTAACAACAACAACATGAGTAAACCTCAAAAACATTACACTCAAGGAAAAATCCAGACACAATAGATCAGCGGCTCTCAACCTGTGGGTCGCGACCCCTTTGGGGGTTGAACGACCCTTTCACAGGGATCACCTAAGACCATCGGAAAACACATATATAATTACATATTGTTTTTGTGGTGAATCACTATACTTTAATTATGTTCAATTTGTAACAATGAAAATACATCCTGCATATCAGATATTTAGAACACGATTCATAACAGTAGCAAAATTACAGTTATGAAGTAGCAACGAAAATAATTTTATGGTTGGGGGTCACCACAACATGAGGAACTGTATGAAAGGGTCACAGCATTAGGAAGGTTGAGAACCACTGCAATAGATGAATAAAATTTCATTCATATGATGTTCTAAATATGGTAAAAATAATCTATGTTGAAGAAATCAGAACAGTGGTTATTTCTATGGGTGGAGGGAATGGGGATTGACTGGGAAGGAAATGAGGGATCTTTCTGGGGTGATGAAAATGTTTGATAATTGATAGGTATGGATTATATGGGTGCACACAGTTATCAAGCCTCATGGAATTGTACACTTAAGATCTATGCATTTCAATATATGTATCTTATACTTCAATTAGAAAAAAATAGTTTTGAGAAGTAAATTGGAAAAAAAAATCATTAAACTATTTTAACAAAACAAGCTCAATAAAAGTCTGCTCATGAGAGAAATCAATGTATGGTGCCAGAGGGGCACTAGACTTATCAGGGTGGATCACTTCATAAGGTACCCGAATGTCTAATCACTATGTTGTACACTTGAAAATAATTTAACATTGAACGTCAACTGTATTGAAAACATAAATTAAAATAAGAGAAAAATAAATCTGGGACCTACTGGTATTGAAGACTTTGTAATTAAGAAAAAGGAGAAAGAGCCAAGCTGGAGTGGCTCAGTGGTTGAGCATCAACCTATGAACCAAGAGGCCACGGTTCAATTCCCTGTCAGGGCACAGGCCTGGGTTGCAGGCTCCATGCCCAGTAGGGGGCATGCAGGAGATAGTTGATCAATGATTCTCACTCATCATTGATGTTTCTATCTCTCTCCCCCTCTCCCTTCCTCTCTGAAATCAATAAAAAATATGTTTTTTTTTAAAAAAAAAAGGAGAAAGAGGAAGCAAGGATAATCATCAAGACCATCATTTATTCCTATGATTTTTTTCTCATTTTATTCCCACATATTTTTCAGATATGGTAGGAAAAACATGCTTTAATAAACAAATCTTCCCCCACCAGCCTTAGCAAAAAACCTTAGGTATAAAGCCCCTTATACACTCAATACCAAAGCACCTTTTTCTCTTTTTAAATTTTCAGGCAATACTATCACTAAGAAATGTGAACCATGGCTGGGGAAGGGGGTGGGGGCGCGATTGGAATGCCTATTACCATCCTTTGTTTTAGCAATACCCATAAAATATGCACCAGACCTATGGCCAGAATTCTTGAAACATCTTATTCTGTGAAATTCATATTACTAGATTATCTGCCTCCTCACGTGTAAGTTGGGGGCTAGAAAGCATGATTTTCCTAATAAATATTCCACCTCATGCTCACTGCAAACCTGCGCCTAGCACAACCCCCCTACCATTTCAACTAAGAGTCTCAAGAACAAAACGATATTCCTAAGCTCCTGTGAAAACAGCAAGTCCCTTCACACCGGGGCAGCAGGAACAGGGAAGGGTAGGTGGTCCTTACCACATCCAGGACCGCACGGACAAACACGTCTAGGTAGACAGTGGTGGCCTCCGTCCAGTCGTGAACTGGTCTCACGTCCTTCTGATACCTCTGCAGTAGCTGCTTGGTGAGATGGTACAGAGCAGAATTCCTGGGATGAGGTGTATCTATGGCTAGGATTCCTGAACAAGAAAACGATCATTGTGAAGTTGCAGCATCTTTAGGAGAGTTCAGACTATTCCAAACTCCTAGCAGAATATAGCCTCAGCTCATCCCGATCAGCCTAAGTCCCCAGCCGGCTGGTAGTTTTTTTGGCAGATGGTTTTAAACAGCTGATGTCAGTAAGCTGATGGCCTCTGTGCCCAATAGAGAAACCTCATTGCAAAGATAAATAAATCTACTCCATCTTCAAGGAAGCCAAGCTGCACCCACAATTTCAGTTCTAAGTAATCGTGCATCTTGGAGACCATTCCTTTCCTTGCTCCTGTACTCCCTCTTCCTGTACATGAGATAACCTTCCTGTACACTTAGCCAAAACTGAACTTTCCCCTCAGGATTTTCTTTTGATTTTCCATTTTTAATTCAATAGTTAAAATAGAAAACCCAGGCAAAAACATGGACCAAAGAGCTGTGTGGATTTCTAAATAAGGGGATTAACGAGATTCCAATTCCTTTCTCCTAAAAAAGAAATCACTTTTCTCACTCGGTCTGTCTTTAAATAAAATGCACTTGTCAGAAAATGAGATCTTCATTTGGGGAAATTCTCTCTAGTTCCAGGGAGCACCCATTTCCTATGGCCCAGGAATCTTGATTTGTGGAGGAAAAGGGACTGGTGTTGGGGGAGGGGAGTCCAGGGGAAAAGAAGCAAGAGAAATGAGCATCAACAATTGGAGGTGACAAATTTGTGAGGGTTTTCTCTGAATTGCAGAAAGGTATTTTGTTCACAAGCTTTGCCAGCCCTCAGGGGATTCAAAGCCTCGCTAAGTCATTGGACTGAAGCAAATTGCGTGCCTCCTGCCACAGCGCGTGAGTGAAACCTATCTGTAGTGTCCTGCCTGTGAATTCGCCGGCGCTCAGTGGTTTTGATGGCTATTTTGATGAGCTGCCGAAGGTGTGCAGGAACCAGCAGGAAACTGTAAATGAGATATCTTCTCCCTGCACGACAATCCTGTTTATACCCATTTCTCTATGAATGATGTCATGTCACTTGTAGCCACAGGCAGCAATTTCTATGATTTATCAATGTCATTGTGACCAAAATGCTAACGACGACGCTGGAGGTGCAATTCCAGACTCCTCGCGGGCAGTGGAATATTCGCTTTCATTACCCGCGAAACTGGGAGCCTAATGAGAATATTAACTCCCTAACTGCTCACCTGAGAGGTGCCTGGAGTGGCATGAGCTATTCAGGCACGCAGACCCAGGTGTGTGGCTCGCATCAGGCATCATGTTTAGGGTGTTTGGTGAACTCTGATTGTCCAAGAATGTGCTGTGACTCTCTCCACCTGAAGCCATCTCTTGCTGGCGTACCCCAGGGGGCGGAAGTCAGAAGCACAGAGGCAAGCTGGTCTGGTGCTTTCCCTGCGAACTCTGCTGTGAGCGACCTCACTTTTACCTCGCTCGGAAGCTCCCAGCTCCAGTCCCAGTTGGGGAAATACTGAAATCACATGTTTCAACACAGGCAACTGCCCGAGACAGAATTAAAACAGTTCTGAGAAATGAGCGTGTATTCACTACACCCTCTGCTCACAAAGACTCAGACTCCCCGCTACTGTCTTTTCTAGGAAGCAATGGACAGGCCCTCTTGGATAAACACATACTTCCTAGAGCATGTCAAGGTCTTTGGGTAACAAGAGCAAATTCTGGAAGCCAGAACTAGGAACAAAAGAGAAACGAGCGTTGATAGGAGAAACAGAAGTAGCAAAAGGAAGCGGGCTTACATACACTGCAAGAGGAAGGGGTTCTTTGTTTAAACTGGGAAGAAATAATAAATTACATTTCTATGATGGATGCAAATTTGCCTGAGGAGAAAGATCTATAACAGGAGGGAGATTAAGGATCTAAGTGACCATTAATTAACAGTAAATTATGCCCCTTGGAAGCTAATGTGACATTCATACGAGCGCCAAATGACTCACAGTGAAGTGATGTTTCAACAGACACTGATGGACGCTCCTGGCAGACCCCGCCCGAGCGGAGTGCTCCCAGCACTGCCTCCTAACAACAAGCTTCAAATAACTCACTCAAGATCGCGGGAAGGGGAAAGTGATAGGAACTGAGATAGGAAACACTTTTAGGTGAAGAGAGGGGTTTTTTTTTTTTTAAAGATAAGAATACAGTAGAATAATTCCTTTGTTTTCCTTATTTGAATGAGTTTCTCTGACACACACCTATCTTACAGTGTTCTGCATTTTGATTAAAAGAGCTGTTCTGGCTTAGTGAGTATACCACCTTTAGGATTCTGCAAGGTATACATACATCTGAGGGGTGACAAGGAAATAGAGGTTTAGGCGTGTGGTTCCATGGAACACCTAATACTGATTGAATATTTGCATATGTCAGGCACTAGGCTAAAGGCGCTTTCCCTGAATTCTCTCATTTAACGTTGGCCACAGCCTGTGAGATACATACTCTCCAGCCCCATGCGTCACGATTATTACAGGTGAAGGGCTATGGCCTTGATGACGTCAGTACCGCCTGCGGTCATACAGCTTGCAAGCAAAGAGGCTGGGATTTAACCACAATGGATCTGTGGCCCAGCTTCCTGAAAATATTAGCCACCACGGTGAGTAACCTTTGCAAAGAGAGACGGATGCCTTGCGTTGTACACTGTTGGGCAGAAACAGCCCCTTGTAACTTTTTGCGAGTGTGTTTTCAGGCCAATCGTAGCTTCTGTTTGTGTTGCACCTTACAGTTCACCATGCTGTCTTGTCTGATCTTCATGAACATACAAACTAAATAGTTAACTTGCAGGAAAACTGAATCTCTAAGAGATTGACTGACTCGCCAGGGTCACCTGGCTGGCGAGGAGTGGCGCAGGAACTAGCAGGCTCTCTTCATCTGCCTGCCCAGCACACCGCCTCCAGCCGAAGCCGTGAAGCGGCGGCCGGTTCAGTGATCTCATATTTACAAATCCTCTTGATACTAACCCGTTAGAATTCCTGAGGGTGGATTTTTCTGCAACTAATGTGCTCAGTGGGATTTATGTTCAAGCACAGATTACTAGACACTGTTAAAACACCTTTGTCTGCAACATTTAGAACAAAAATCAAGCATAATACAAAACATTAGGAAGAGACGTTGTTAAGAAGAATTTCTTCTGTTTTCTTACCTTCATTTTTCTGTTTTATCTTAGTTTAATGCTCATAATTATTTTCTGCTAAGAAACCCATTTGGCATTTAATGAAATTTCCTCTGTTTTCATTTTTATAATTAAGATAGGCTTTTATCCTTTAAGTTCAATAATCAGGATTTTTATACTTTAATGATAAGTGGCTACTTTTTTTCTCCACTGAATAAAAAAATCATTTCCAGCTTCTTGACTACCAAATTCCTTCCTCATCTCCATAATTGACTCATTCCACTTCCAGTTATATTTTAAAGCATGGATATTCAGCTATGGGCTCTAGGAGAACCCTCAAGAAAGGGGGATATTGGGAAATAGCAGCATAAAGATAAATTCTTTATTTGTGCATGTTTCCTAAGAATCAGTTGTGTCCTAACTAAAATGGCTTAATCCAGTAGAGTTAATACTGGCACCATGGATGTTCAGTTCCAAAATGTTGGGGAAAAAAATACCTTAGCTTCTAAGAGGAGTTGTTTCCTAACCTTAAGAGGAATTATGCACCCAAAACATGTGAGCTGACAGTGCGCATCTTTGACTCGCCTGCACAGACTGTGTGGGTGGATGGAAGCCCCTGAAACCAAAATGGTCTTCAGGCGTCTGTAGCCACAATGCCTCCAAGGGCCTCTCTCTCTGGGTTACTGAAAGCTTATGATGATGCCAAGACCATTTTGGATAATAAAAATGTACGCTTCAGACACAAAAGCAAACCTGGGAAAGAATGCCCCACACGCTCCATGGACACTGCAGCAGAGAGAGGGGTCCTAGGACAGCAGAGATTCGGCAAACAGGGCACCAGAGGCCACGCTCGCTCTGTGGGAACGCCTGGCCGTGGGGCCCCGTGTGTGCACGTGTCTGTAACTGCAGGAGCTTCACAGGACCGGCCTGTGACAGATGAGGTAGTCACATGGCACAAGTAGAAAACATTGTCTCTAGAGTTAGTGCCCGCCCTGTTAAATCCCCAGAGGACTCACCTGACGCAGCCACCAGGATGAAGGGCCACAGGGGAGCCATCGCACTTGCCAGGAACGGCACTCGTCCTGCCTAGCGGGCTCCTCTCCACCGGGCTGCTCTCTGCTGCTGTCCCTACTGCTGCTACTTTGCAAACACCGAATGGAAACCAGAGGCAGTGCCAGCGCCACAGAAATGTTTTGGAACTGGTGCCATCGCGATAGCCCTGAACCTCCCCGCTCGGTTCTACTCCAGGATCCAATCACGGCTAGCGCTGCCATTCCCCCGACAGGAGGTTTCTAAATGAATAATGTAATCTAAGAGGAGCCCCTGAGGACGGCAAGTTCCACACTAATATGATTTCCTTGGCAGCCTTTACCTAAGGCAGTGCTCTCGCTGACATTCAGGACACTAATCTCATTAATAACTGAGACCCAAATCGCCGTTCCAAACATGCAGGAACGTCTTCAGCCTTCGCAAGGTTATCGGCCCTCGGAGCGAGTGGAAACCCGGTGCTGCCTCCCGAAGAACAGCTGCTGACGTGCAGTGTGAAGGGCCTTTTGTTTTCCCTCAGCCCCTCTCATGAAGAGAGACGTTGGCTTTTGGTAAGGGGGAGTGCTTTTTAAATGTCCGTTGCCCACAATCCAGAAAGTAACTATGTAAGGGAGGGCGGTCTAGGCGTAGTGGACACGAGAACTGCTGAAGTTTAACATCATTCAGTAAATTTTTTCTTCACTTTTTGATTGAGTGCCCATTATCTCTTCATTATTTAAAAAAAGGTTCATAATTCTATAGAATATCTCTGTCTTCCAGTCGTAGACTCTTAGGTGCTCTGGAAACAAATACTGCATTTCATACCATTTTCCCAAAGCTGCCTTCCTTTTACTATCAATGAGATTGTAGAGGCACAAGTGTGAGATACGTTTTTACAAGCAAATTGGGGTGTGGGGGGATATACCTGGTATACCTGATCCCTGTTCTCCTTAGTATTCAGTCCTTTCTTTAGAATCCTTGGCGTTCTCTTCCTCATTTTCATTTGCCAACAAAATGTAGCCCAATGGGTTTCCTCCTGTTGGTGAAGACTTACAAATACGGAAAAGGAGAAAACTAGGATGACCTCTGTGGTGTTGAGTCAGTTTGGGGCAGAACAGTGTGAACTCAGAGTTTTCAATATATGTAGCTCACTACAGAAATAAATACAAATGTAAATGTGTGTGTACACATGCTCATATACACATAGCCCATGAGTACAGCTAGTCCCCAGATCTTAGTTTCTAAATACCATATCACCTAAAAGGAAGAAATGGAGAAACGACGGACGCCAGGGCTGAGAAGGGGATGGTAGAAGAGCCTAGAATATTTTGTTGTATCATAAAGTAAAGAAATGCTAAAGGGATGATGGGGGCATGATAAAAGGACATAGGAGCCAACTTGAAGGGGCTCCTAATTGCCAAGTCTGGGACATTTCAAGCATCAAAATCAATAATGATGGTGAAAAATCATAATGCGCCAAATAAGTAATAATCCACAAGTCCACACTGATTTAAATAAATAAGTAAATGGAAAAAAAGGAAGGCTTTTCCTTAAATTAGAATGCCAACTAATAAGTGCAGAAGGAATGATGGATCTTCATAGTAATAATTCACTCAAGAAACACCAATGATAAAAACTAGTTGGGGAAAGTTTGATGAGGAACAGAACATTTACCCAAGACAGTAATTACAAAGATTGGGGGGAGGGGGGGAACCTTCCAGTGGAGAAATCTGGCAGGCAGTACTTTAATCAAGTGATGAAAATGAACTTCACCAGTCGTGGGAATGGTGTGCCACGAGGTAGGAGGAATGGCGAAGACACAGCTGCACTTCCGTTCTCCTGCTAAAAATTCATAAACTTGGGT